GAAATTTAAAGACTACTTGCAAAAACATTGCAAAATGTTTGAATGCTAAAATGATGCAGGCTATAAAGACAATATGGCATTAGTGACATAGCTGAAAGGAATATGTAAAAAATGTTTTATAAGAATAAGGGTGAAAAAGCTAGAATAACATTATGTCAAATTTAAACAAAATGATATAAAGGGAAAAATTGGAGACATAATAGTTGAAATGTATAACATAGAATAAGATTTGAAAGAGGGTAAGGTACTGCTGAATACGACTGTGCAAAAGGGAACACAGAAAAGGGAGATGTAGGGAAGTCAGGAAGGAGGGTTATGAAAACAATAAGTAAGAAACTGGATTTTTATGTCTTTTTTATGTCTTTTTTCTTCTACTTTTTTATGTTTTGTATTGCATTTTTCTGCTTTTATTTGACTGTGATAATGTTTTTTCTTTCTTTTTTTTGTTTTGATTGTGAAGTTAGTTTTACTGTTCAAAATTTCAATAAATATCTTTTTAAAAAAAACAACAACCGAGGTACCACTGTATTGCTCTCATCAGCTCCAGCCAGCAGAGTCAATGTTCATGGGTGACTGTTGTCCAGCAACATCTGGAAGGACACAATCAGGTTCCCCACCCTAGCTCTAATCCCAACTAAATGTATTTTGGGGGAGGCCACAACATGCAAAGGGGTCTACTCAAGATCTCAGTTAACAATTAGCATGAAATGGTTAAACTTTAATCTGCTGAATTGCTAATTGCATTCAAGTCTTTATCTGAATTTTTGTTTACTGCTTCACTCCTTTACTGCTCTCATAACTTTTTTAAACTTCCTTGAGACTTTTTAATGGAAAGTGAGAGTAATACATTTTGATGAATATGTTTAATAAATGCAGGTGTAACACTCCCAGTTAGCTCAGGAATGGATCTTGCACTCCCTTCCCAATCCCTCCTTTCTGGAGTGCAAATTTCCACCACCTGCCTAATTAGGGCTTTTCCTTAACCATAATTTGGAGCTGGGTTCAAACCGCAGTTTGAAATCTTCATTAAGTGGGAACGCTGAATAGCCCTTGACCATGGTGTACATCTCTGCCAATGTGATGCTTTATTATAATTAAGTTGTGACAGGAATTCACACTCCAGGGACTGGAGGGAGGTTGCAGTCCCATGGCCTGCTCCCTAGTGCTAGGCAAACTGGGAGCATTATGCCTCCACAAGACTCAAACAGAATGAAGGCAGACCTTGGATACTGCAAATTTGTCCAAATGTAGTACAAATCAGAATCCTTCATCCTTAACCAAATAAACAGTAACTCACCCTATTATTCTAAGACAGGATGGGACAGACATCCAAGAGGAGTAATTGTCCTACTTCACATATGACGAAAAATGAGTGAAGTCAAAACCTAATGCTTTAAAGCACAACAAAGAAAATGAAGGTTGCAACCCCTATATCCACTGACTGTAAGAAAGCCTCAGTGAATTCCATGGTACTGTACTTACTTTCAAATAGACGTGTATAGATATGAACTTTGGTGTCTGTGTCAGATCTTTTTAAAGGTATATTTATCCTGTTGTCATTTTCTCTGAAATCTTATTTTCATGTTTCGCAATAACTGAAAACATAATATTGGACCTTAATATAGATGTTTTTGCTTTAATTCTAGTTGTCTATGCAAAATCATATTTTGATATTCCAAAATGCGTTTTTAGCATGAATAAATGGCAAATACTGAGAACAAGTGAAATGAAATGTCAACAAGCATGATTCATCTGCTTTCCTTCTTTTTAGGCATACTACTCTAACAGATTAATTTCCCCACCCATTAGTCCTCATACAAAGCCTTCCCTGTGAAGAACTAAAGCCTTAAATATGTCAAGACACACAACATGAATAGTACCATTGAACTAAATATTCACATTCAGAATAGGAGCATATGCACATTCTGTAGTCCAATATTGCAGTAAGATATAAAAGCTACTCATATGTAAAAGCTTAATTTCTAAAATTTCAAAACCTTAGCAATACATTCTACAAAGATACAATTGGGTGGAACTGCGCCATTTACAAAATGAAAGCTTATACAGAAGCAGACTATTTAAAAAAACTCTCAAGACCAAACTGTTCTAATGGTTGCCTTTGCACCCAAACAAGTGTACCAAAAATCTGAAGTTTCAAAAATCACTATTTGACAAACAGCAAACCAAAGAAAACCAGTGAGATGTTTCTGTACATGTTCTGTGAGGCATAGCAAACAATTTTTCACAAACCACCTCAGACATTTTCTATAGTACAGTGCTATGGGAAATCTGAGTTAAAGATTCTTCTGGTTTTTGTAGCAACAACACTGCTAAATAAGGCTCGCAGTCCTGAAATTATATCATTACCCAAGGATCCACCAACATAAAATTGGTATCCCAACAGGAACAGACATGAAAGTAATTCAGTGGCTGGCTAGCACAGAACTGGCCAGTTGTATGAGTAGAACCTAAACTTTTCTTCACCTTTCTCAAGACAGTGAAATCAAGCTAAACATAAGGTAAAATTAAATTCTGGAGAAAGTAAAAAGAATGGCGTCCAATACATTTCCTTCTAATAGGCCTTTATATTCCAACAGTTTTAAGGACATGCAAGTTTAATTTTTTTAAAATGATATGAAAGTAAGGAATTATACTTTATTTCCCTAACTCCTGCCACAAATGACACCCCAATAAATGACAAATTCTACATCACAAGATTTTCTAGTGGATCCCACCAAAGCAGAATTGGAAGTAATGTTTCAAACTCCTAGGCACCAGCATCTTATTAATAGAAAATGGATAAATTCTCAGCATTTCCCCCAAGGGACAGTAGAGCTCCCACAGTCTTGCTTACAACATATGCAACACAATAATTTCAAATAGTGGCATCTATCAAAATTAGACGATTGTGTTATTTGTTTAAAGCTTTAGATGGCACACAGAACAAGGGGGGGGGGAACCCTTCTTGAAGTTTGGAGAATTAAGCAACCACTATCATGGAGGCTCAGTGCCACAGACCATCAGGAAAGGCAAACAAGCCCAAAAGGGTATGCATCTTTACTCAGAAGCAAGTCCCACTGAATTTAATGGGGCTTATTCCCAACTGTCTTAACTCCTTAGTATCGGGGGGGGGGGAGTAAGTATTTTCCAAGTGAAAAAAGAAAAATGTAAAGTTGATAATAAGACAAACAAAAACAAAATCGAGGAGGAAATTGCTATCAAAGCTAGGCATCATTTCAGTGGAATTTACTTCTGGGGGGAAAGGGATTTGTCCTCATTTTTGTATATAGGTCACACTGTTTGAGGAAGAGTAGTTGACCATGATTCTTGTAAAGTTAAATAGTAAATACATCCATAGTAGCACTTTTAGTAAATAAATGTTAAACAGCAACTCTTCACTTCAACCATAACAAGCCAATATATCATATTACGTCTGTTAATACAGTTTTAGTGCTGCTCCGACTGAAACAGGTAATAATATTAGACTGGTCTCCACTTTCAGTTATTGTGTGTGAATAATTTGACTCCAATACAAATACTGGCCACCAAGTTTTGAATTCAGATTTCTTAAAGTAATTACTAGTTTCCCCAATATAATTGCTACCTCATCAGTAATACTGAAAACAGACTTTCCCGCCCTCCTCCACACCAACTGGGACCACTGTAATCGCTATACCGCATCCAGGCTTATGAGTATGAATGTTGTATAACAAGCACCTTTTGTCACCCTGATATCAACAAGTCCTAAAGAGACCCACCCCTCCAGTTCGACAACAGACTGCCAATTCAATATCACCATGCTATAATGCCCATTCACCCTACAATACCCATATGGACTCAATGTCTCTACCTTCCAGCCCATGGCGGAAAGATTTCTCATACTCTTCATGTCAATATACCCTCTGTTCTCTATACATGGCTGACATCATTGTTCAAAGGGCTTCATGCCTACACTGGTACATCATGGGATTTTTCTGCTCCCTGCCCCCAATCTACACAAAACCCATAGTAATGATGCAGTGCAGGCATCACCCCCACTCTGCACACACCCAGGTTGATGTGACCCAACTCTTACATATGTAGACTGAACGAAGATGTCCCCCCCTCAAGCTGCTCCCACATTCGCATCTGCCACCCAAAGCAAAAAGCAAGGTACCACAAACTCCTGCCCCACTAGATTTAATACTTGTCAGCAAATTCCACTGCCCCACAAGATACCACAACCCCTTCCCCTTTTGAGTCACTGAGATGATTCATGCCCCCCCCAATCGCCTGTAATAACATACTTCTAAGTAAGCACAAAACACACAAACACATACACCGTGCAAGACCAGATGACCTCAGACCATGGCAAACTGGGATGGCGGGGAGGCGAAGGAGAGAAAGGATACCAGCAGCCCAGGATATCCTCCTCTTCGCAAAACATGCTCCCAAACAGCAACATCCTCCTCCTCCTCCTCCTCCTCCCAGTCCAAACGCCACCCCATTTTCGCCCCCGATCTAAGAATTAAGACCCGCTGCTCTACGTTCAGAGCGTGTGCTTTTCACCTCAAGCGACCCTGCCACGACTAAACCCGGCCGGCCAAACCAGCAAGGTATGATTACTATTAATTACAATTAACATACCACCTATAACTTTACGCGTGTAGCAGGAGCATCGCTAATGGCAGCCGGACGCGGATGCGTGTCGGGCCGGCGCGCGAAGGTGCGCCCGCCGCCCGCCCGCCCGGGAGGGGAAGGACGGGAGGCATCTACAGAAAAGCGATGCCCGGCCAGCACCCGCGTGTGCACGGAGCTCGCTGTCACGCAACCACTCCTTCAGACGGCGCGGGCGACCTATCCCCTCCTTCCACATCGAGGCTGTGGAGCGATAGGGCCAGCTGGGAGGAGGAGGAGGGGGGAGGGGGGAGACGGTGACAGAATCCCACTTTCCCCCGCCTGGGTTACACCCAATCCAGCGCCCACCCTGCTCCCCCCCCCCTTGCCAATCCCACACTCACCTCCTGAGGGGCGTCGGGGTGGGGGCGTGAGTGGGGCGGGGGGCGTCCGGCTGCCTCCGGGGCGCGGCAGCTCCACCTCCTTCCCTTCCTCTTGCCCCGGAGGGTTTCTTTTTCTGGGGTGGGGTGAGGGGGGGGTGAGGGAGGGGCTGCGAGGCGGAGGGAGGGAGCGGGCGAGCCTTCCCTGCCTCCCTCACCACATCCCGAAAGCGACGAGGAGGAGGAGGAGCGGCTGCCTCCTCCCTCCACACAGACACAAGCCAAGGCGAGGAGGGGGGCGGGGAGGCGATGCTGCTGCTGACGGGGGGACCGTGGAGGGGATGGCGGCTGAACCCCCCCCCAAAAAAAACCGCCCGCCTCCTCAGTCAGTCAGTCAGCCCGGCCGCTTTTGTTTTGGTTCCTTCCCTCCCCCCCCCCTCACCACACACACCTCACCAATCAAGGGAGAAGCAAATGACGAGATAGTGAGGAGGAGGAGGAGGAGGAGGGAGTGCGCGCGCGCACGCGCGCCACCCTCTTCCACACACGCGCGCCCGCGCTCGACGGCGGGGTTTGGGATATAGAAAAGGGGAGGGGGGGAGTCCCGCCTCGCGCTTCTCCTGAGCCTTATTCTTCTTCTTCTTCTTCAGGGTTACCCCCCCCCCGCGCGCGCGCATGCGCCTGCCGCGCACGCGCCACGCGCCTGCCAGGGCCGGGCAGCGCGGCGAGGGGGGCGCCTGGTGCGCGCGCACTCTCTCTCTCCGTTTTCCCCTCGGGGGAAGGAGGAAGGAGGGGCGGCGGCGGCGGCGGCAGCAACAGCAGGAGCCGCAGCTGATTGCCAGCGCACAGGTGGTGGGTGGGGTTAGGAAGCGCCTCCCTTGGCTGGCCGGCGCGGGTGCGCGCGGGACTGGGGGGGGTGTGGCCGCTCGGCTTCCTCCCTTCCCGGTCTGCGAGCCCCCCCCCCCCGCCGCCGCCGCCTCCCTTGCACGTTTCAAGGCACGCCCCTGACCTTTCAGGAGTAAGGGTCTCCATCTCTCGAAATAGAGCTGGGGGGGGGGTCTTCACGAAGCGGGGATGCTCCCTAAAGGAAGAGGGAAGGAAGCATTGCCATTAATGGGGGGGGGGGGTAAAGAGGTGTACCTGGGGGTTGGGGAAACCAAGTCTCTCTCCCCCCCCCCCGCCAGGAGCGGAGAAATAGCCCCTCGGTGACGTATGTGTGTGTGTATTGATGCGCCTTTGCTGTCATGGGGCAAGATCAAACGCTTCCTCCTTATGCTGCGCCCCCCCCCCATCTTGTCGTCATTCGGGACATTTCAAGTACTTGGGGGACATGAAATGTCCTAATCTCTAATGTGCATATTGTAGTAAAGTGATTTTTTTTCAGGGGGGGGGCACTGATACAGCTCCGTTGCCAAGAGTTCCAGTGGGTGCTACAGGTTACGTGGATGATTTTAGATGAAAGTTTCCTTTTATTCTCTGCCGTCCATTGTAAAGGCCTTTGGCTATATACAGTGGTACCTCGGGTTACATACGCTTCAGGTTACAGACTCCTCTAACCCAGAAATAGTACCTCGGGTTAAGAACTTTGCTTCAGGATAAGAACAGAAATCGTGGAGCAGCAGCACAGCGGCAGCGGGAGGCCCCATTAGCTAAAGTGGTGCTTCAGGTTAAGAACAGTTTCAAGTTAAGAACGGACCTCCGGAACCTCCCCGTATTTTTCTCTCTATAACACGCACCCAACCATAACACGCACGTAGTTTCTAGAGGAGGAAAATCCGTAGGCATGCCACCCGTAGGCATTTCCTCCATAACACGCACAGACATTTCCCCTTATTTTCTAGGAGGAAAAAAGTGAGTGTTATGGTGCAAAAAAAACGGTAATTAAGTACTTAACCCGAGGTACCACTGTATACAATAAAAATGATTGATTGACTTGCAAAAATAATTAAAACTACAGTTATTAACTTCTGTGCCGATCTACCTTGAAGTAAGTCCCATTGAACACAATAGGACTTGGGGACAGTGGCAAGGGTCACTTTAAACAACAACAGCCCTGCAACACTTACCTCACCTAAGGATAAATTCAAATGTGATGAAAATAGGCAATTAGAGATAGCACAACTTACCACAAGCCATTGTTTTAAGCAGATTCTGAACAAGGAAATACAGTTTTGTTGCATGCACTTCTAAAGGCACACCTGCGCATAACCCTCTCAGTTCAGTGTTTCAACTCCTTTTTTTTTTTTTTTTTTATAAATTTTTTATTGCGTTCCTTTCCATAACTTCAGACAATCCAAACACCACAAAAACATTAAATACAAGAAACAATTTTTCTTTTCTTTTACATTCAAAAACAAATTAAAAGCCAAATCAAAAAAGATATGTAAACTATTCCCTATTTGGACTTCCCCGCACCCTCCGGAACTGCATTCTTTATAATTTGATAATGACAGCAATTTGTTACCTTGTTTCATACCTTATTGTAACTTTCAATTTGTTATGCATCCAAATTCAATATATTGTATCTTAGTTTCAATGCTTTTAAAATAAACATAACATGTTCAATTCAAATTGTCTCCTTTTCTTTTTTATCACTTATTTTAACATTTACTTAATCCTATTTGCCAAAGCATAGTATTTCTAAATCATGCACTAACTTAAGATTCATACAGCTTGTGATGTTTTTGCAAATAGTCTTTAAATTTTCTCCAGTCTCCCTCGATTACTTCTTCATCCAAATCTCGGATTCTGCCAGTCAGCTCAGCTAATTCCATGTAGTCCATCAACTGCGTCTGCCAATCCTCCAGCGTGGGTAAATCTTGTGTCTTCCAGTTCTTTGCGATGAGTATTCTTGCTGCTGTAGTTGCATACATAAACAAAGTTCTATCCTTCTTTGACATTTTCTGGTCCACCATACCCAGCAGGAAGGCCTCAGGTTTCTTAGAAAAGGTATACCTAAATACCTTTTTTAATTCATTATGTATCATTTCCCAGAAGGCCTTCACTTTTGGGCAGGTCCACCAGAGATGGAAAAATGTCCCTTCTGCCTCCTTGCATTTCCAACATTTGTTGTCGGACAGGTGATATATTTTAGCTAGCTTGACTGGGGTCATGTGCCACCGGTATACCATTTTCATAATGTTTTCCTTCAAGGCAGTACATGCCGTGAACTTCATTCCGGTGTTCCATAACCTTTCCCAGTCTTCAAACATTATGTTGTGTCCAACATCCTGTGCCCATTTTATCATGGCAGATTTAACTACCTCATCCTGTGTATTCCATTTAAGCAGCAAGTTATACATTCTCGATAAAGTCTTAGTCTTTGGTTCTAACAATTCTGTCTCTAGTTTCGATTTTTTCCACCTGGAAACCCACCTTTTTATCCATTTTAAAAACTTCTTGAATTTGAGCATAGTGTAACCAGTCTCGCACCTTATTTTTTAATTTGTCCTGGCTCTGCAGCTTCCAATTGTCTCCAATATTTTCTATTAATTCCCAATATTTCGGCCAGTAGGCCTCCATATTGAGTCTTTTTCGGGCCTTGGCCTCCACCGGTGATAGCCACCTCGGTGTTTTGCACTCTAATAAGTCTTTATATTTCATCCAGACTGCAAAAATTGCTTTTCTGACAATGTGGTTTTTGAACAATTTATGGGCCTTAGCCTTGTCATACCATAGATATGCATGCCAACCAAAAGCATTATCAAAACCTTCCAGATCTAGGACATCAGTATTTTCCAGCAAAAAACCAATCTTTCAACCAGCAGAAGGCTGCAGCTTCATAGTACAACCTTAAGTCCGGCAGGGCAAACCCCCCTCTTTCTTTTGAGTCAGTTAGTATTTTGAACTTTATTCGGGGCTTTTTGCCCTGCCAGACAAACCTAGATATGTCCTTCTGCCACTTTCCAAAACATTCCACTCTGTCCACGATCTGCAAGGTTTGAAACAAAAACAACATTTTCGGCAATACATTCATTTTTATAGCCGCAATTCTTCCCAACAAGGACAGTTTCAATCTTGACCAAATTTCTAAGTCTTTTTTAACTTCCAGCCAACATTTCTCATAATTATCTTTAAATAAATTCAAATTTTTGGAAGACAAATTAATCCCTAGATATTTCACTTTTTTAACCACATTTAATTCTGTTTCCCTCTGAAATCCCTCTGTTTCTGTAGGTGTCAAATTCTTAGTCAGAACCTTAGTTTTTTGTTTATTCAGTTTAAACCCCGCCACTCGACCAAACTCAGATATAAGTTCAAGAACTCTTTTTGTACTGGGTTCTGGCTCCTGCAATGTCAAAACTAAGTCATCTGCAAAAGCTTTCAGTTTGTATTGTTTCACTCCGACCTCTATCCCTTGTACCCTCCGGTCCTCCCTTATCATGTTCAATAGCACCTCCAGGACTGAAATGAATAAAAGAGGGGATAGAGGGCACCCCTGTCGTGTCCCTTTTTCAATTTTGAATTCCTCCGACACCACATTATTCACTATTAGTTTAGCTTTCTGCTCAGAATAAATTGCTTGTATTCCATTTTCAAACCCCCGTCCCACTCCCATCCCTTCCAAGTTTTTCTTCATAAACAACCAAGATATGTTGTCAAATGCTTTCTCCGCATCAATAAAAATTAACACCGCCCTTGTGTTCCTGTTGGTTTGCAAAAGCTCCAAAATATCAATGATGTTCCTGGTATTCTCATATAAATGTCTACCAGGGAGAAAGCCAGCTTGATCTTTATGAATTACTTCATTTAAGACCTTTTTAAGTCTGCTTGCCAAAATGTCAGCAAATATTTTGTAATCCACATTTAAGAGTGAGATGGGACGGTAGTTCTTAAGTTGGTTCTTTTCCGTTTCCACTTTCGGAATCAATGTGATGAAGGCTTCTTTCCACGACTCCGGTGTCTTCTTCCCCTCCATAATCTGGTTACAAACCTCTTAGGAGTGTTTCAACTCCTAAGCTGGAACTACAATAGGTACTTTTAACTAGACCATTAAAACTGGCACCTTATTGGCTTTGGGTTATTCCATTTGTTTCTACCTAATTCAATAACTATGGTAGCACCAATGACATTTAGTAAGACTTGAACATAAGGTTGATACTTTTGCCCACTGATGGTGCTGTGGCGGGTTTTTGTTTTTACATAAAGATCCATCCTTGCATGGGCATAGCTAGGATTTACGGTATGTTATGGGGAGCAGGACGCTTAAATGCCATCATCCTCTGTCTGGGTCTGTCCAGCAGATTCAGAATCAAATGTCTCAACAGTTGCTTTAAATTACTTCCTTTTGACCCCAAACTCTGAGAAAAACCTGTCAAAATCATCGGTCATTTGAAAACTAAGAAGTTACTGACGCAATTGGTCCGTTTGCAGAAGCCTGTTGCTCAGTTGAGCTATAATGCCCAAAACCCAAGTGACCTCAGCGATCAT